ACAAGTTGGGCTGGACGTGGCAATACCTAAACTTCAACTGTTACTGTCCCATAAACTACAAGCGTTCATTGGTCCGTGTCTCATTTGTAGGAACTCGTTGTATCTGTTCAGAAGAAACGATTGAGGAGGACCTACAAGGTATCGCATCCGTCCTACGTGAAAATGCTTATCCTGACAAGTTTATTGTCAGGTATGGGGCAATTGCACGCCTCAAAAAGAAAGAGCAAAAGTCTCAAAGCAAATGGTAGTCATCACACTGTCATAAAAAGGAAGCAAATTGACAGACGTTTCTACCAACCTTTACGGCGTGCCATTGATAGGTTCTGTTATGCGGCTGAGCTCATTTCGCTCCATTGAATCAAAAAGATACCACACGAATCCGAGTTAAAAACGCCACACTTTGATGTCACCGCCTTCTGTGTTACCAGTTTAACCGTACTTGCGACAGCATGTATATCGACCGGACAAATTGGAGATTCTTTACCCGGATTTCTGAACATATTCCGCTAAATCTACCTCTCAGTGATGCACCATTACCTGCTATCGCTGTTGCCTGACACTTACTCGACTGCTCGATGTCCCAAAACCCCACCGATGCATTCAAAGTGATCAACAAACAGAACAGTCACAAATTACTACCTTTGGCTAAGGCTTCTGTAATTCGGCGGTTAAATTCTATCCCATGCAGACAGCCTGAGTTGGTGACCAACCTTGCCTTGTTGTGGAACGGTCACTTGTCTCACTGGTGTTAGACTCGAATACAACTTGCTCAAAATATGCAAGTTTGTGGAACTTTATCTTTCCCTTAACCTACGCGGCAAAGCCTAATCACACACCGTGATATACGTCAGGTGATCGACGCCAAGTTCAAAACGGGATCTGACTTCTAATTATTGACCATGCCTGCGCATCAAAGCACGTGATAACCATAGGCGATTGAGAATGCACTTCGCCTCGCATCCACTGATATACCTATGTCGTATCAACACGCACACACACAGTTGGACGACCGGAGAACGGACGCATACAATTCCATGCACGTGCTCAAGACCCGACACAGCCATGGTCGCAACCGCGCCACAATCTGATTGGAACTCACAACCACCATACAAGCATATAACTATTTTATGTATAATTATTATCTGTACATTATTATCATATATATTATTGTCTAGCCTTCTGATTTAGTAACTAGTCTCCATACAAGCGGCCCCAATACTAACACAACTAATCAACCAGTTATGGTTTTAACCGTCACTCCTTACCGTCTGAAACTACGCATTTTCTGTAAATGGCAGATGGGAATACACAAATCACACTGAAATAAGATTACTCCGCTGAGAGGTTGGTTGCGCTTGCTGTGTTGCAATTCATGAACTGAAATGGTTGAATAACGTTCATGTAAAAATGTCTTGCTGTTGCTTTCGCCTTCTTCGACTTAATCACGGTCTTCGTGAGTAGACCCCTTGACTTCCTCTGAGGTTTGCCCCACGCTATGGCGAAACGTGTAAGCCTGCTCTCACCATGTTACACGTTGTACATTCGTGGGTGGGAATCACATATAATTGTGACCGATGCCACCTGCCACACATTTTCACTTTGATTCATGAATTTTTTAATTTGTTCGGTCTCGGTGTTGCTCCTCCTAACATTGACAACCCATGACCGGTTCTTCGCCTTTCGAACTCAGCAGGTACAGATAGTCTGAGCTGGTGTAACTCAGGGCCTAGTATTTCGCAATTCTTCAATACTTTGAAGACCTGGATTCCCCACATGTAGAAAGGACTGAAGTCACTTGTCCTAGCACACAAATATCCATGTGTAGCTCCACCGAGTAGGTGAAATGTAGTCCAACTAATATCTTCATCTGAACCTTGAGTAAATTCTCAGGAAATGTGCAAACTGCAACCGCCTTCCTAGCTTTAAACCAAGGTAAACTGCTTTACAATGCGACTGTATAACGGCATAGTAAGTTGCTATAGTTCTGTGAAGGCATATGAGTTAGGAAAGGGCTGTAGTGGATTTTTATAAGCAATGTTTGGCTATAATCTGTGGTGCACTATTCCCATTTCCTTAGAAGCAGCAATATAATGGGAAAAAACCAGGTAATTCGCCTCTATACAAATTGGCAGTGACCGTTACTATCAATAACCAGCTGAGCAGCTGGCCTGTAGGAAACAGGGTAAACGATGAAGTGTATCGCTCTGAAAATGGGACATTGTAATTCACATGCTAGAGCATTATTTGCTCGCCACTCACATCGAGGATAATAGAGGCGTCATGGGGAGAGTTTTCTTTGCTCTATTGCGCATATGGTTCTTTATAAATTCTTCCATAGAATTTTATCCCATCGCAACTCCGCTAGTCGCTCCCATCACCTACATGCAATGTAGGCTAGTAAGGAAATTCCTCATTATTAGCAGACAGTAACGTGACGGCAACTAAGCCAATTATCACAACCTTCAGGAGAGACCCATGCGATCATTTCCCATACTATTTTGTCTGAGTGCGTTCCTGATTGATTCTGACTGAGCTGCACTCCTATCATTCTCTTAGCTGGCACGCATGAAATCGGAGTCATCCTCTCACATCCGTCACACCACGATGGTTTAAATTAAGCGTAGGCCCGTTTTCAATCAAGAATCGCGTGCAGCTGCATGAGAACGCTATTCAGTCTTTAGTCTGCGTTCAACTTCGATAGACTTGAAAATGTTAATTCTTACGTGTGTGTGTTTGTCGATTAGTGGAATGGTAAAGCAGAATCCACTGCTATCGGCTTCGTTTTCTAGGAAAAGCTAAAATCCTGTCTACCAGTAGGTAGATACTCTCCTTGCTCAGCATGATGTCGCGTGCCAGTAACGGAGATAGTCATTAATCCATTCCAAAACGACACGATTAAAGCGATCAGAGCTTTAATCCCATGATGCTTTACCGGGCATACATCTGTTAAGAGGGTCAGCAGCTCAAACTAAACAATAATCCCTAATGTTTCTAACATATCTTTGAAACACTGTTCCCGTTGCGGCGCCTTTAACTTCAACTCAGTTCGTTAGTCTCCGGCGAATGAGCAGCATTTCACCTCCATTAAAAATGGGACACTAGTTATCCATGCCAAACACATGGCGTTCAGTAACGCACCAGTTACATAGGAAAAGAAAGGCAACCACAGAAGCACATGATAAATTAACCTAGGTTTTGAACATTCTGAATACGAAGGCTGTGTGCACGATTGGTAGTGAAATTTAAGTTTGAAACGCAACTTAGCCATAAACAGCTATTAGATGCTATTAGCGACTGCCTAAGCTTGGTTACATGGTTTCCTTTTGGGACGATAAATTACGCTTCTGGTTGACTTGTTTATAGCGCGGTGGGCTGCTACAAGCTTCTAGCTTGAAATTAACTCCACCATTTACACTAGTTGTTACGTGGTAAAACAATTGACTGCTTGTTATATGCATAGCAAATTCATACCATAACACTATGAGCCTAAAGTGACCGGAAAATATTCCGGCCCCAACCACATGCTAAACGCCACCGCGCCTAATAGTCAGTATCCGTAGATAGGATGGACTGCTTTTAACAACCTGTGCTCATAAACAAGTATACATTTGCTATTTTTGTATTCAAAATTACAAGTGTTATTGTTAGCTTCAGTAGCACTAGGATGCCTTGTCTGCGCTATCTCCGTACTTCCGGTACTTAAACCGTCGTACTGATCCGCAGTCTGGTGTCATTAACACTCTCGGGCTTCCCCCACCAGTTTGGGGATTTTTAGCATGATTCTGAATTATTATCTAGCGCCTACTTAATGCACCACAGCGGTGCACAGGAAATGAAGTAGTAACAGCTTTTTCTACCTACCCATATACTTGGTTTTACAACGCGCGGCAATCCCAACGCAAGCAAAGATTATCGATGAACCACCTAGTTGAAAATCTTTATCAGATAAATATTGGAGGTGATGGTTTGCGACAAATTTGAAATAGCATTTGGTTAGCTGAGGTCAAGCAATGGGGTGTTTAGATGTCATACAGAACTGAGTAACCACATACGATGAACTGACGTCCAAACTGAGTAGGTTATAATTGAAGTTCTATAAGGATCTGTACTTGGATACGCGTAACCGCGAACATATGGTTTAATGCCTGTGATTTGTCAGTAAGACATGGAGGGGAAACGGAAGACCCTAGGTTAAATTGGTGACACTTCTCCTGTTGGTGACAGTGACCTACAAACTATTAGCTATATTAGGGTGGACAAAATTCAATCAATTTTTACCCTATCAGATAACAGCGAATTCCTAGTTAAGTTTACATATGAAAAGACTGCATTTACGAAGTCCCAAGGAACTTTGCAGTGCGATTCAGTAGTATACTACGGTACTGTGTGTTACATCTCCTTGAACTTTGCAGACAATTAGACTAATATCAGTGGTGAGTTTCGGAGCTGCACACTAACACCAGTGCATTCCATGACCGATCGGTTTCGTTCGCTGTACATGGAGTTCTGGTTTGGGGGCCACGGCGTACGCCATTAACCACTATGCGTTGGGTTGTTCACTCAGCTCAGTTTTAGTCCCAACCAAGACGAAAAATATCGGCCGCGTAGTGCAGTCTTGAGAGAATGTAGCTACGAAGTTCTCCACTTCGGCTGCAGACCAGTGAACTATACGAAATAGCTTTGCCTTAAAGTAAAGTGCAGATTGCATGTCCCAAATCAGAAACACGGTGCGTACTCCACAACCCAACGGATTATCAGCAGGTTACGCAAAACGTGGATTAGTAGTAATGAAAGACCTGCTAAATCATGTCGAGGTTGATCTCCGCGTCTATACTCTATGCAAAAGGCCTTGATAAATCAAGGAATACAGGGGAATTAATTTCCATATATCTCAAGCACTTTGCTATTGCACCATAAAAGCAGGCATAAAATATTTGAGTAAATGGCAATACTCGTTGTCGAAACGTTGACGGTAGTGTAGAAAATCCTGTGGTACTTACCTGGAATGGTCTTCACCGAGTTCACACGTGTCGCTCCTATTTGTCTGATCCGCAGTGGCAGTTCTGCGGCGGACAGTGGGATTATCTGTTCCATGTGGCGGGCTACCCGAACTGCTGGAGCTAGATGACTGAATTGGGGATGCGCATCGCATTACAGGCATCGGTGGCGGTGGTGCCGGGGCCCTAGGAACACGCCGCCGCTTTATTTTGCGGTTAGGCCTCGTTAGACTGTGATAGTTCAAACTGGGTTCTGCGTGTAAATTAGCATTTTGTGAGGCTGAGCTTGATGGTGAATTCCTAGCTTCTGAGCAGTGTTCACAAAGGCGAGAAACGGGCGTTCGTTGTGGCCTGTAAAATGGCGCAATGAGATCCTGCTAAATGAATCAATAGATTGTTAAAGATGCAACCAATGACTGTGACTAATATTGTAACGTTAGACTTGTTAATTATTTAGTATACTGAAAAGCGTCGCAATAATATGGAAGGTAATAAAACTGGTGCCAGCCTTTTAGTAATGCAACATTGTAGGGATAGAAAGATACTACTTCGTGTGTGAGACCACCTGGAGTACCCACCACAGATCTTGGTTTTCTTTCTCTAGCACACCTATTTGTTAATCGTTTGGCCTGACACAGCACATGGCATATCACACTCAGTTGTGAGCTAGGAACTGTTTAGTACATGTGGAAGCATGAAGGGTGAATGTGGCACCAAACGGCCACGCCGGAAACCATTTGACGTGGCTGAGCTTTCTGCGCCAAACTTTCTCAGCGCATTTCAGCTTTGCCAGCACAGTCGGACTGTAGGGAGTCCGCTGACAGTCTCCCACGGCTGTCGGCGGATTGAGGACATTTTTTAACTGGTTAAATACAATTCCTATTTTCTTCGGGATATGGCGCATAACCTTCAAAAAGAAATTACTTCTGCAGTAGTTCTATCTTAACGCCGTGAAATCGCTCTCTACTAATACGCTGTCGGATAGTCAGGAATCCCTTGACAGTCCGAGGAGAACTGTAGGAAGACTCGAAAACTTGTGATCGGTTTATTGCAACATCAAACCTAGGAATTAACATATTGCTGAGTGTGATGATGTAGACCTAATCCCGGGGGAACTGCCTCCTTTCTGAGATGAAGTGGTAACTTTCCATATACATATACTACTTCTGGGACTTTCGACGAAATTTCTCGCGCCAGTTTCATTCACGTGCTATGACTAATGCAGGTTAGGCTAGAATTGTGAGAAATATAGGGCAATACACATTGTCCTATATTTTCTATTATCGCAGCACAACCTGATGAGACATATGGGGGCGCAAGGCAACAATTTTTCACACAGCCCCTTAACAGTCCAAGTCATGTTCAATTGGGAGTTATTTTAAACTCTCTTCGGACTGTTGACGGAGGAGGAGACTGTCATTGGACACTCAGCGGGCAGTCGGGGGATGGTCGTACAAGCAGGGAGGATGGGTTGGCCTTAAATCTTAAGAGCGCATCATGTTCTGAGGTGCAACAACACTGGCCACAATTCCGGTGCGCCATGCACAACTTTGCGACCCTGGTCTGTGCTTTCACCAGTCGTTCTATCAACCAATGTACATCGGCATGATCCCTCCACTTTCTAGGAGCTCGCCGGGCAATAGCAGCTGGCATTAAGTATTATTCACTACACAGGCTCACTAACACTGAACACAAACCGCGTCTCCGGGCGGATCACGTGGCCTGGTGGGAGCAACGGATCATGATATGGAGCAGGCGCCAGGTCGCGGGATTTTCGAAAGCTTTTCCAGCTGGTCCGTTCCACTGCCGGCAGAAGGCTGACCGCAGGCGAAGTTTCGTGCGAAACATATGGCGAGCCAATCCACTGTGGAAAATGCCGACTTGGGAGTCTGGCAAAACTGTTTGGGCAGCAGATTAACTGGCCAGCAACACAGGTGTGTTCACAGTCGGGAATCCGTAATGCTCCCCGGTGTGTAGAATATTCACCACCATCAAAGTTGAGGTTGTTCAAGAGGTTCCTATTGTAAAGCGCTAAAAGCCCCAGGACCAGACTAACTCCCCTCCGACTTTTTCAAAGACTGAGGTTCATCACTCGTTCGGGAGTTAATTTCCTTCCTCCAAGAGGTTTTGACCAGAAAAGCAATCCCGTCTGATAGGAGACAATCGAATATCTTGCCTGTCTTAAAGAAAGTTGCCTGGTCAGAATGTGCTAATCACAGAGGAAGTAGTCACATCTGCGCTTCATCTAAATTGCTCGCTGCCATGTTTTTAAGGAAGCGCAGCCTGGTATAAAAACAGTAAGCTGGGTTCCGCACAGTCCGGAGCTGTACGGGCCTCATCTCTAATCTCCGCGAAATACTCGAGCGTCGTCGAAAATTCGGTCGTCCAACGATCCTTGTCTTCCTACATATACTGGCTCCCTTTGACTCAGCTGAGCGAGCTCTTCTCTGGAGCAGTCGTTTGAGAAGGGGAGTGCCTGAAGACAACATCAATATTCTTCGAGCCATCTACCCACAAACCTAGGACCGAGTGCGGGTGTACGGGTGCGGCGTACATCCGCCCAATTTACCGTCATCAGTGGCTTGAGGTAGAGCTGCCCAGCATTCTTCTTCCTGCTAAATAAAAAGAAGAAACCGAAGCACTGTATTCAGATGGCAACTTCAGGCTGAAGCATCAATTTCATATGGCGAGCCATGCAGGTGAATTTACAAACTAGGCTTACACGTTGATTTTCCTTGTGCTATATCTCAAAGATGTTTTTCAGGAAGAATTCACATTCCCCTCTCAATTCATAAGTTTATGTGCACGTTCCAGTTAAACGAATTACTTAGGACTGATTTCTTTCTCTAATACCACTGAGGGATCGTTGACCGTAGTATCCTTTAACAAACTAGGACTTTTTCTTTTTATCTTATCCTCCTCAAGCTTGAGGCTATGGAGTGTAACCTAAGGTTAGAAAGCGTTGGTGAGAAGCTACTTTACTTGAACTCGAGCATAAAACACCCTACCGAAGGTTATTTTTGGGCAACTCATCGTTATTCTTCACATTTCAGGCGGACACTTTCTTAGTAAACATTATTTAGTGCAATTTTTGTTTATAGTCTATCTTGAAGATCATAAAACTGTAAGTGAATATGGCAGAGTACATGTCGGTGCAAATTTCAAATGACTCCTTGCACAACACCCACCGCTGATGAAGGTCACATACACATGATACTTAACCCGGAGTAAAAATGCTCACTCTGGTTGTGACTGGGTTGTGGAAGAAGTGGACGATGTGTTGGATTGACTATTCGTCTTCCTAGTTGTGTCAGTCTGAACAGGCGTTCGTTGCAATGACGGTGAAGTACCACGATTCGGACTACTCACACCCAGATCGTCCTCCTCCGGCACTGTTGACAAAGTGGAGCTGTCCAAGCTTGAAGAGGTCAAGTTTTGCATCAACCTCAGCGGCGGGTAAGGTGGCACAGGCGAGTTTATCGTGCCAACAAATTGTGGTGATGGCGACAACCCCGGTGCTACTGAACAGCAAGTGACAGGAATGGGATCCAACGGCCATTCGAAACAGAGCTGACTATGCTTCACCTCTTTGTCAGTAACCTGTGAGCGGTCGGTAAAAAAAATAAACATATTGCATGCTTCAAACCTCAAAAGTTGGTTATGGTTATGTAGGACACTATCCAAAGTGCTTTGGTTCTTGTTTATGTTTGTCGACATGCACCTGACTTTTACCGTTGTCATGGTGCGCGTTGACTATGGATCCACACGCCGGCTTCATTCATATGGTCACATCATTCAGTGGATCATGTTTCGCTAGTCGAGGCTTAATGACTTGTGTCGTTGTTTTCTCAAACGCTGGGTACTGATGCGGAGCGGACGCACATAAACTGTGATGTCTTGTCTGTGTCCAACTGCCACTCTTGTAAACGATGCTAAGAAGTGAATGTTTGCCTGGCAGGATATAATGGAGTGAGGATGGCGGTGCTTTCGGTTAATCCAGACTATGCGCCAACAGCTTTTCTGGTGGGAACCAAACCACAGGACAGTGATTCTGAGGATATGTTTACAAAACACAATGCAAAGTGTAATCTCGCTGGCATATTTATTCTGCCAGCAAGTTTAGAATGTTAGCTAAATTCGAACACACGACTACACATCTGATTTTCCCGTCATTCGCTCCACGAAGACGAACAAAGCTATTATTGTTGAGTGAAAGCTTTGGCAATCTGGTTCGCTAATTTCTGCATGCACTGACTGCCACTATAAACTTGAGTGGATTTGGGAAACCGGTCCCGAAGAGGAATGTGACAACCTCAGCTGGAACAATGTATATCGACCACAAATTGGTCGAGTTTGAGTGGTGCACCAATCTAGAATAAATGAGTGTATTGCTCTGTAAATTCGAAGGTGTCGCCACGGATGCGTCACACTAAATACTCCGCTTATTGCTATTCGTGACAAGGACGCACACAAGGCAACATGCGCGCCAATCATCTGACGAGTAAGATTTTCGTATCCGGTCCAATGCAGAGCTGAAGTTTCAGATTCATTCTCCATGAAAATGCATAAAGTAGTATCAACAGCTATTACAATCAGAGTACGCAAACTCCGAGATTTTTACTACCAATCTTATAGTGCCGCCTAAAATTGAAACTCAATTAATGGGATGTATTCATGCCTCGACGGATTCAGTGCAATGATAAAATAGTCTATAAAGCTATACTACTATTTGTTAGTAAGTACCGTACTTTCTCAACCAACTTAATCCATGCTCGGGCGGAGCTAACCAAAAACAGTAATCCAGCCGATTAGTATTTTGTTACCATTTTCCTACATTTTCTAGGAAAAGTGTGTTTAGATTACTTTTAAAATCAGGCTAGGAAACGTCTAACGACATAACTGGATTAGAGGAAAGAGGACTAACCAAGTTACAAGTCCATTCATAAATGTTAATCATGCACTGGGCGCCAATGACAATAAACGGTAGCAATATGCCCGCTAATGAGATGATAAACACAGGACGTCAACGGTGTCATCTGTCAGAAGGTTTACTGCGAAGCTGGGTTTGCTATCTTGATTTCCAATGTGTCTGCAAGCTGGCAGTAAATGAACGAGTCGGCGGCAAAAATCAAAGATGTTCCGTAACTCCGTGACGCCTGTTGCACACTGCGTCCAGGTGGTAAATAGCAGTGTCTACTATCAGCAAACCGAATAGCTATATGTGGATAAACGCACATAGCTTGCAAATACTGCAGTTACTTCCCACCAATAAACAACAGGCACGTGGCGGAATCAATTTTTCCATTGGATCCACAGGGAAAAAAGGATTTAGTATGGACGAAAAACCTGAATATAGAAGAAGATATACAATCCTACAATTGCAAACAATTCAGCACTAATTTTAATGCGTTCACTGAAATTTCCGGTCTAAAAACTTCTATGCAACGTTAAGAAGTATGTATGATTGTCTTTGAAATGTTGGATTATATAGCACTTGATTAAATGCCGCCTACTATACTGGTTGGCTCTTAATCACCCATAAATAATGTTGCAGTTTTAGTAGACTATTCGCTGAGTGATGTTAGCTAGCTGGTACTGAAAAAGCTAGCCTTCCTCAAATGCTGTCCCAATAATAGCAGAAAATCTTCCCCGACAACACCCTATTCCAAAATGGGCTGGGCTTCAAACGATAGTTCGGTCTGGTATTGAAGACATGATTACACCAGTACAAATTCTGCGGGGAGCTTCAACTGCTGATTCACAAGTAAATAGTTTCGTCAATGCCTTGTGCTTCTCATAACACAAGAAACGTTAACAGATCATCGGATACTGCCACAACATGCAAGATGTGTGCAAACGTCATGTCTCATACTGTGGGTTACACAGAACTCAAATATGTGTCAACCATGTTTGCCGATTTTCGTGCGATGGGAAATACATCCAATGTCATTATTTCTCGTAGCAATGTTGGTACCAAACCATTGGAAAATTTAAAACGGTGCATTTTGACACGCCACATACATAACCATGTTGCAAACATCCGAAACATGCCTCACAAGACTTTTTAGTAGGAAAAGATTATAAATAGAACCCTCGTCACCAAAGGTTTTGATATTTTGACCCACCTGCTTGGACCATGGGACAATATTTTTTACTTAGTAATTGGGGTGCTTTTGTAAGGTTAGATGCGATCACTAAACTCTTACTGCTTTTAAGATGCCGAGTAATTGTTAGCTGTTCTGCATATTACACCCCTTCCTCCAGTAATCAAACAGATCCGCTAACAATACGTTTCGTTCTCACCAATGTTGGCAACAAGGCGCAAAACAGCTAACAGTATAGGCATTCTATGTCCTATGTTTCGTGCTGCTTATGAACGTCGTACATGTATAACCCATAACACGAACTTAAGCCGGCCCCCATTTTACCTATGCCAGCATGTACACAGGACCTTCAACAGGACAGACACAAAACCATATGATAAGTCGGGCTATATCGCAGTTAGACTTCAATCCGTGCTGGTCAGCTATCGTTCCCCTTGGCTCAGTGGCATAAGTTGCTGACTACTGGTGCAAGTCAATAGCGGTCACGGGTTCGATCCATTGCAGCGGACCGAAGTAATGAGAATCAATGGCGATCCTCAATAGAACGAAACGATTTCCAGGTGCTTTTCTGGATTAGCAGCTTACCATTGCGGCGTGTAATCTCACTGAGACGAAGCATAGAAGAGCAAAACCATGGTTGTTAACGTACTGATAAACGCTGCAAATTATCCAGTTGTTGTTTATTGTCATACCAGAAATTTGTTATTCACGAATTACTTGAGAGGTTTAATCCACCATTCAAACGTCTTCTATGCTTCCAGGCTACTCTTGTTCTAGTACTTATCAGTATTAACCTGCCACTGTTGATGTTGTCAGTTAGGTGTATAAGAGTTTCAAAGACCCCGCCCCAGGAACATTACAGCGCGTTCTTGGCCTGAGGTGGCTTAAGGCATGAGTTACTAGGGGATTCTGTTGCAATCTGTCATCAGTATGTTGGACTGTGTGTTGCAATAATCATTGCTTGTGACCTAATTTTGTCAGCCAAGCTCAGAGAAAAGAGGCGAAATAACATTCGCATCACACCAGCAGTACTCGCATTGGATAACTTGAAATACCGAATGGGTTACGGCATTCGTTCTAGAGCAAATCGGCAAACGGTCTACTAATGCTGCTTTTAATTATGTGGCGGGTTGCATTTACCATGGTTGGGATATCTCGATCAGACTATCACGCGAATTTTTCCCTCTTGTATACGGACCAAACAGTTGCTTTGCGGATAAAACCATCGCGTGTCCGTTCTGAAATGCACCTCACGCAAAAACACCCTCTTGACTTGCCGTCATTTCAGTTGCCAATAATCGCTTGACAGACAGTGTTTGCAGGTTTGTCTGACTGCTTCATAGCAGCCAAATAAACAGCGGACAGCAAAAGGGAAGCGAAAATGTCTCGAAATGATTACACACACACATACACACACATATGAGTTCACGTGCAGTGGTAGCAATGCCGAATTAAAACGACGAGCTAACAATTCCTTCTCATCGTACCACAATTAAATTAGCCTCGCCTTTTCATTGCTGCCTCTATCAAGGTTTTACTCAAATTAGTACGCCCTAGATGCAGTGACGCAGACAATCCAGCCAAGTCGTTTAGTGGGTATAATTGGCACAAGAATGCCTAATCTGCGTTTCTTACATTTTGTTCACAGTACACTGATCATCTGCCATAGGTTTGCATCTCTTTCTTAATAGGATGTGTTAGTACTGAATATGCCCAAATTATACCCAGATAGCAAGTAGCTGAGGAACTCTAATGCAGAAATGGGGAACAAAATTCCATCCAGTTTGGTTATTTTTGGATGGTGACAATAAGCGAAACTGCCTGATGACATTTGGACATATGGACAGATCAAGACTCGACTTATTCAACACGGTATCGGAAACAGGAGTTTAGCTACTAACGTCCTTATTGTCGTTGCCTCCCATTAATTTAGTCTATCTCATCTTTTCTGACGCCATGGAGGGGGTTTCACTAAGGCTAGCTCAATTCCCAAAGTAGGTTTGCTTGCAGCATTGTGTGAACAAGAAGAAAAACCTACGTTACAACTATAAAACAAGACACGTCACCGTATAACGTGTAATCCCATACTTCTGAGCCAAAGAACACTGTTAACAGTTTCAGAAGAATATATTTTCTAAATAGAAGGGTGCATGTATGTGGAGCTTATAGCCCATACTTACCACTGCATACCAAGTGGTCAGTCCAATGAGTTAACCAATATTACTTTTACTGCTGAACGTTTCTCAATAAACTGCTGTCGCTACCTATGCACAGCTCTCCTGGTATCGAGAACATTTGACAGAAGGGTTTACAGGCACCAGTCAGTGATCTTGCTGAACTTCTGTCTATATTCTATCAGTGTTGTATGGGGGATAACCATATTTCAACAATATGGAAGCGAGAGGTCATCACTGCTATTCATAAGGGAGGTAGTGGGACTGATCCAAATACTTACCGTCATATAGCGCTACTCCTTGTGCTTTCCAAGTTTATGGA